GAAGTCTTGCTCGTTGCCCAGGCCGGAGTGCAGTGGCATCATGTCAGCTCATTGCAACCTCTACCTCCAGGGTTCAAGCTGTTTGCCTGTCTCAGCCTCCCGAATAGCTGGCATTATAGGCAGCCAACACTATGCCTGGCCAATTTTTGTATTTTTAGTAGAAATGGGGTTTCACCATGTTGGCCAGGCTGGTCTTGAGCTCCTGAACTCAAGTGATTCACCCACCTTGGCTTCCAAAGTGGTGAGATGACAGGCATGAGCTACTGCACTCAGTTCCTTTTCCGACATATATGTATTAACTAAGAAAATAATAACCATATGTTTATAAAATAATAAGCATGTATGTACATATGTATGTACACATATACATATAAGTACACATATACACATATAGGTACATAGGGGTGTGTGTGTGTGTGTGTGTGTGTGTGTGTATCTATATATCTATGTCACAGTATGTAGTCTGAGGGATACTTTAAGAGACTCCTCTGCAATTTGAGGTTCTTCCTTGCTGTTACTTCATGAATTCACACAGACTTCCTGTTAAAACATCTTAATGAAAATATGGTGCTGATTACAAAAATGCATCTCAAAATAGAGCAAAATTGTTACTTGAATGATTAAACCTTACTAGCCCTCAGGTAACAATACTATTCTTTCATACTCTAGCTCTTTCGCTCTTGTTTGATACCAAGGCCCAGTTTTTACTATTAAGTGGAAGAACTGTCAAAATCATAATTCAAAATGACAATGATAATATTCTTTTATTTGTTAGTGTCTGAAGTCTAATTTGCCGGGAGCTCTTGACCAGCAAGAGGATTCCAACCTGAGTGGGGGTGCGCAAGAAGAAAAGGGGACAGACAAGCGGGGTCAGGAGGATTGAGGAGTCAGTGCTCCAACAACAACATTATTTCTAAGAGGTTCGGAATATATACATTTTCCAGACTCTTATTTACGTCATAGCAAGAAGAAAAACAGGTAGATAAATCACATACCATTCACAATATAAATGACCATATATTGTGATGATAAAGGGTAATGATTATTTTTGGTGCTCTCATACATGTTTACGTAAAAACATTGTTCCTCATGACTGCACGTCCATCTGGTTATCTATTAACTAGATTCTTTGTATTCCCGATCCTTTCATCTCAAGTTCCTTCTTCCTGGGGACTCTGCATCCAGGCTCAAACCACCCTTATTGTGAGACTCACTTTGCAAGATTTCACATGGGAGGGCTCCCAACACTAATTATAGGAATAATCTGTGAAATAAGATTGTATAGTTAATAGTTGTTTAATGGACTATTAAACAGGAACTTCTTCCGAATTCTATTAAGTTCCAATTGAGATTGATCGGTCTGCCTGTCCCCTGGGGTCCCATATATAGTATGTGAAGAGGGTAATCCTAGAGGCTAGTCTGAACGGTAGGCTATAGGCAGGGAGTACATCTCTCTCTCTATCCCTATAACTGTCAATCCCAAGGAGTTCATGCCCTGACTGAAGCCAGAAACTGATTCTCTTTGTAACAGACCAAGGATAAGGAACAGGCTTATGACAGCATTTGCATTTCTTTTTGCCAAGAAGTATGTATTTTGCAGCATAAAGAGAAATACCCAGAAGTGATAGGGTTTCTGCATAGACCAGAAATTGGCCCTTTAGTTTTGCTGGCTATCCTTGTCACCTTTGGCTACTAGGACTATCTTCCCCTGAGAGGTTTTCTGGAGACGACACATAAAGTGGATTCTGCTTTCTCTTTCCTTTTCACCAAGCTACTATTACATCATACTCAACAGAAATTCAGGAAAGCTTCTCTTGCAGATAGTTCTGCAAAACCTAGAAATTTTATTTCACTTCTGTTTAGCACTTGTGGTATTCTGATTTTAAGGGAAACCATCAAGCTGAAACCACAACAGAACAGAAAACAGCTCTGTGTGAATGGGCAGGAGGGTGAAGGGAGTAAAGCCAGGGAGAGAATGTGTCAGGTGCCATAATCAGTCAAGAAACACCACGTGTTTTCCGCACCTCAATCGGCATGGTTATTCTCCTGTCTCATATTTATACAAGCCGCCATTTCCTGACTGAATATAAATAGGACACTTTGAATTGAGGAGTGACGTTTTTTCAAGCTCTCTACAGTTGATGATAGAATCTGTTTTTGTTTTTTTGTTGTTGTTGTTGTTTTTTAGGGTGCTTCCTTTGGAGGTCAGTTCCTGAAAAGTATGACACCACAGATTGTAAAAATTTTATAGAAAGACAAATAGTATTCTCATCTACAGCTATATGAAGAAAGGGAGGAAAATACTTATCATCTTTTAACTCCTTGAATTAGGCGCAATCTCAGCTTTCAGCAACCTCAATCTCCTGGGTTCGAGCAATTTTCCTGCTTCGGCTTCCCAAGTAGCTGGAATTATGGGTGTTCATCACCACACCCAGCTAATATTTGTATTTTGAGTAGAGACAGGGTTTCACCATGTTGGCCGGGCAACATGGTGGAAGATACTGTGGTAGGTGTTTTTTGTTTTTTTTTGGGGGGGGGGAAGGAGTTTCGCTCTTGTTACCCAGGCTGGAGTGCAATGGCGCGATCTCGGCTCACTGCAACTTTCGCCTCCTGGGTTCAGGCAATTCTCCTGCCTCAGCCTCCTGAGTAGCTGGGATTACAGGCACGCACCACCATGCCCAGCTAATTTTTTGTATTTTTAGTAGAGATGGGGTTTCACCATGTTGACCAGGATGGTCTCGATCTCTTGACCTCGTGATCCACCCGCCTCGGCCTCCCAAAGTGCTGGGATTACAGGCGTGAGCCACCGCGCCCGGCCTGTGGTAGGTGTTTTAAACTGCATGTTTACTATCACAACTATATGCATTTTTTTGAATTCATTTTATTTATGAGAAAACTGAGGCTCAAAGAGATTAAATGAGTTTCTTCATACCACACATACATGCAAGCCAAATGAAATTACAATGTCATATTCTTTGTAATGTAATGCAAATTATGGGTGATTTTGTCAGTTTTGTATTCTGGATTTCAGTTATAATGGTTAAATCTTTTTTTTACTTCTGAATTCTACACAACTCTTTCTTGCTCTCTGAATTTCCATGTTTCATGCTGTATTTTCAGCTGGTTTTAACCATTTTTTTTTCTTAAGTATTTAGGCAGAGAACCTCTGATCCAATTTTCACTATTAATCTGTGAAGGAAGTTTGTCATTCTTTATGTCAATGATAATTTAGTTAATTTGGATTGACACAAGATTGTAAAATTCATAACATCAGGAAATGTTACCAAGAATGAATATAAAAGATTTCTTACCATAACCAGCTCTGCCAGAAAATGGAATGTGTTAAAAGTTGCAGTAAGATTGTAATAAACCAGTGTGACAATTATGCAAGTTAAGTAACTTAATTAATAAAGCCAGTAGTTGCAGTAATCATATATTATCAGTATTAATTAAATATTGTGATGAAGAATTGGTTATCTATTCTCACCTAGAGAATTATGGCAGCTTACTGATATTCAAAGTAGTATTTTATTTAAAAGTGATTATTATGGTAATTAAATGTTATAATTTAAAATAAATATACTAAACCTATTAACATGGTTTACCAGTTATATTAAATCTATCCAGAAAAAATATACTGCAAAAAAGAAAAAACTGTGTACAAAAACAAAAATCCACATTATTTTCTAATTCCATTCTACTTCATCTTCACTTCAGAGTCACTAACTTCTTTTATTTGGCTCCACTTCAGTTTGACTTCTACTTATCATTTCCACCAAACCAGTTCTCTCACTAAGATCACCAATGCCATTTATTTCCTAATTATTGGGCAGTTTTAATCCCTACCTTTAGTAAATCCACTGAGTCTTCTTCCCAGCACATTTATCTTCTTAAATACTTTTTTATCACACTATCAGTCCATTCTTGCACTGCTACAAAGAAATACCTGAGACTGGGTAATGTATAAGAAAAGAGATTTAATTGCCAAGTAGTTCTGCAGGCTGTACAAGAAGCATGGCAGCATCTGCTTCTGGGGAGGCTTCAGGGAGCTTTTACTCTTGGCGGAAGGCAAAGCCAGAGCAAAAGGAATGGTAGGGGGAGGTGCCACACACTTTTAAACAACTAGATCTCATGAGAGCTCACTATCCCCATGGCAGGACCAAGGGGGATGTTGTTAAACCATGAGAAACAGCTATGACCTTATCACCTCCCACCAGGCCCTACCTCCAACATTGGGGATTGCAATTCCACATGAGATTTGGGCAGGGACACAGATCCAAACCATATTAATCACCATTCTTTCTTTTTGTCCATCTAATGTAAGGGACCCCACCTCTGTTTCCTTTGTGGTTCTTCTCTTTCCTCCGTTTAAAGGTGGAAGGTTCTCAGCATCATGCTTAAGTTCTTTTTTCTCTACACTCTTACCTACACTTGAGCACTTCCATTTCTGGGATTTTGCTTGCCACATATGAACCCCCAGCAATTGCATTCCTTGTAAGTTGCAAACTCATGTATCCAACTGGCAATAGACTTTTCTACTAGATGTTTACCCGTCAACTTGCAGAGGATGTTTGTGTTTATTTTTATTTCGTCACATGTCTCAGATTAACTGCTGCTGAAAGAAATCATTGGTTGTTTCTTTTTCTCTTTATATTATTTAGGATAACTGATATTAAGTATGATTAGTATTTTTAGTTTTATTTTATACAAAAATCAAATATGCAAGAGAATAGGAAGTGGATTATTATGTTCATCTTTATATCTTGAGTACAACATACAGTCTGGTTTAGTGAAAGGTCATTTGTACTTACATCTTGCATATAATAATGATGAATAGATAAGTTATACCCTTTATTCTCTAATCAGGTTGCACAGTAAGGCAGGAATTTCATATTAAAGAATCAACACATACAAGAAATTCCTATAGTAAAAGTTTAATGAACAACACAAATAATTAATTGAGTAAATATAAGGAACAAGTTTCATTACACTAAACACAGTGTAAAGGTGCACATGACATTATATGAACAAAAATAATTTAAATCTTATAAATAGTTAAATAGATATTTAAATAGATAAATCAGTTTATCAGCATGGTCATAGTTATAGTAGAAGTGAGAGTCTTTGAAATGGCAGAATTCATGAAAGTGTGAGCTGGTGTATGAGTCAATTAGAGTTGTTTTCATGATGGACCAGGTGTTAATCCTTTCTCCTTAATCTTTCTTGTAAGTTTTTTGATAAAGAGAAGGATCTCATGATTTCTACTCTGACAACCTCCCAGGCACATGAGCTGTATTTCTTCTCTGTTAGATAGAGAGTGATTCTTCGGAAGTATTTCTTCACAGCCAAGATGGAGTCCATGTTCATCAGGGGAGTTTCTCCCACCCTCTCCTCCTCCATCACACAGGCTTCCAAGTCATTTAGCTGCTGGTAGAGCTCAGTGCAGAATTCATCTAGGAGGTCCTTATCCCAAGCAGCAGATGAGTCTTCTGTGGTAAAGAGGTTGAAGGTCTGCTGGATCATCTCATGGAGGACAAAGATGGCTGGTGCTTTCTGAATCTGGTTGCCATCAAACTCCTCCTGGGGAAATCCAAAGTCATGTCTGTCCTTCCAACAGGAAAAAGGAAAGATTCTCATCATTTGTGCCAGGAGCATCATGGTCCTCCTGTTATCCAGGCTATGGGTCTGAGGAAGATCACAGGTCAGAGAGCAGCTTATCTTGCAGCTGAGAACCACCAGGGCCATCAGTGAAGGAAAGGGCAAGGCCATAGTAGATATTGCAGATGCTTCTGGGCTTGCTGAGATGGATGAATCTGAACCTTGGGCTCTATGTTCTCTGAAGGTCTTGCCTTGTCCAAATGCCTTAAATAGGGAACATGCCATTTTCCATTTTCTGTTGCCTCTGGGCCACTTTCCACTTCTGTTTTTTTCTTTCCTTTTCGCTCTTTACATGAGTTTAGAGCAGTGTTTCTCAACTGTTTTGTTTTTCAATATTGTCTCTCCCATCTTGTTCCCAGGGACTTTTTAGATACTTTTTTCTTAATTTAACCCACTATGAAAATTTAATAACACAGATATAATATGTATCTATTTGTGTACTATATGTATATATCTATACTCAAAAAGCAAAACATTTAATTTTTTAATTCAATACAGGGTTAAAAATAACCAAGTGAAAATTTTAAGCTAAAAGTTAAATTTAAAATCTATTCAAATTCAACTTAACTTTATAACTAAATTTGCTTATGGACTTCAATGTAATTTACTGATATAAATTGTAATATATGAAATTACATAAGCAAATTAAAAAATTATAAACATTATCTAATATTTATAAACTTTATATCTCTAAGTAGTGAATACTTAAAAATTATTTAAACCAATAAAGACTTAAAATTTTAAAATATTTTTATCATTTATTTGTATTATACTTAACTTTTAATTTTGTTGCATGTGAGGTAATTTTTAACTTCACTAGCTGCTAGATATTCACCTATATATTGTCAAGATGTTTTCTTTAATACTTGACCTAATTATTTATGTGTTGAATAATCTTAGTAGAATTTTGCTGCAATCCCAGCAGCTTGGTAGGCGGAAGCAGGAGAATTGCTTAAATCCAGGAGGCAGAGGGTGATTGCACCACTGCGCTCCAGCCTGGGCAACAAATGCGAAATTTAGTCTCAAAAAAAAAAGAAAAAAATCCAGGAACAAAATATCTAAATTGTAGAAAGTATTTCCAGTCAGACACTGTTTTATTGCATAACTAATGCTCACTGAACCAATAGAGAATATTTTCATTTTTCATATTTACTGAACAGCTACCATGTCCCTAGCCCCATTTATTCACTGGAGATATCACTGACCAAAGCATACAGCCACAGGTTTTACTATTGTCCCCATTTACAAAAGAAAAAATGAAACCACAGGGAGCTATTAAGTTGTAGAGCTACAGTTTGGAGTCAGAAAATTCAACTCTGAAGTGTTAACTCTTACATGCTCTCTGAGAATATTTCTGGCCATAAGAACCAGAGCTGATTTCTAGAACGATCAATATTTTCCTAGTAGAATCTTGTCTATGTAATGACAGGGTCTCTTTCTTCAGTTTCCATTTGTCTTCTTCTTTGTAATGCCCCATTTGCTCATGCCAACATTACAATCAAATTGGCCCCTCTTTGCTTACATATTATATTCTAGTTTTGTCTTCTTGAGGGTACACCATCATACACACAAATGTATTTGTAAAATACTTTGTTCACCACAGTAAATACTTCCATAAATCCTATATATATCCATTTAAAAATCTACATAGTACTATTATTTTAATCAAATATTCATAATATTTCAGATTTCCACCTATGTGGCACAAATTTAAGAAAGAATGTCATTGTCAGGCTAAAGACATGAATGAAATCAGAACTAGACCAATGAGCTATGGCTTAGAGCTCAGGGAGAGCACATCTAGAAGAATTAACTAAAGGGATTATTAAAGATGTGGAAATGGAAACACTTCTGGAGAAATGAGGAGATTCCTGGGCATTGGAGGAGGAGGACTGAGATGACAAAAGACCCTAAGCCACCTGACTCGCCAGCTAGTTGATGCCTTTTATGTTGTAGGCTAGCAGAGTGTGCTGCTGAGTTGATTGTGCTGTCTTAATTAAAGGAACTGGTAAAGAAAAAATTATGCTGACACTTGGTATAGCAGTCAAGAATATTTGGAAGTACTGCAACAGATGTCAAATATATCACAATAAATGCATTAGCTCTTGCAGTACTATACAGGAAAACTTGAGACTGGGTAATTTATAAAGAAAAGAGGTTTAATTGGCTTATAATAATGCAGGCTATATAGGAAGCATGGCTGATGAGGCCTCTGTAAACTTACAATCATGGCAGAAGGCTAAGGGGAAGCAGGTATGTCCAGAGCAGGAGGAGAGAAGCAGGGGAGATGCTGAACAATTTTAAACAACCAGATCTCACAATAACTCACTCTTACCATGACACCACTAAGGGAGATGGTGTTAAACCATGAGAAACCACCCCATGATCCAATCACCTTCCACCATGCCCCACCTTCAATATTGGAGATTACAATTCTAAGTGAGATTTGGATGGGTATGCTGATCCAAACCATATCAATAAGGGAGAGGGATCAATAGGTAGGTGCTCAGCTCAGAAAACAGCAAAGACAGCCTGGGATTTATACTCAACAAGCAGAATGAGCAGGTTAGTAGATTAAAAAATTGCTAAAAGGAGACATCAAAGGTAGACATCAAATTATGTCGTGCTAAACTAAACATAATTCTAAAGTCAAGTCATGGTAATTATATATTGAGCGTGTGGGATGAGGAATTTGATCAGATATCAAGGGTAATCAGCCATCAGCTCATAAACCTGACTTAGTAACAACTGGACTTGCCAGACCTAAGAATGGGCCCAAAGGCAGGACCTGGTCGAAAGAGAGTTCAGAGGAACCTGACTAAAGTTTGGTGAAGGAAAGTGTGTTTGTCAGAATCTTAAGAGGTAGCGAACAGAACTATCTGCCAAACACTTACATGGGAGATAAAATTTTATGTCTTTTGAAATGAAATACCATTTAATGAAAGATTTTAATCAATGCAATATATATTTTAAAAATTTTAATCAGTAATGTTAAGAATTTTTGAGGCCCCTTCATTTTTAACTTGTATTTCTAAACTGCTAGATCTATAGAGAGTTGCAAAGATAGTACAGGGAGTTCTCTTCCCTTCACTCAGCTTCTCCTAATGTTAACAACTTACATAGCCATGAAACAATGATCAAAACTAAGAAATTAAAACTGATGCATTAATGTTTGCTAAACTTCAGAGTCCACCATGCTTTCCTTAACTTTTTCACTGATGTCCTTTTTCTGGTCCAAGATTCAATCCAGGATCCCATATTACACTTTGTTGTCCCATCTCTTTTTTCTCCTCTAATGTGTAACATGTGCTCAGTCTTTCCTGACTTTCATAACCTGGAGATTTTTAAAGAATATTGGTCAGTTACTTTGCAGGATGTTCATGAATTTGGATGTGTGGAATTTTTTCATTATTACATTATAGATTTGAGGGATGAGTACAATAGAGTATGTGTGCATTTCATCAACTAGTATAGGAAATATATAATATCATTATCTTATTACTGCTGATATTAAATTAATCACTTGGTTAAGTTGGTGTCTTGGAAGTTTCTCCTATGTAAAATTACTATTTTTCCCCTTCCATATTGTATGTGTCAAAAACATGTCACTAATATGAGCCCACATTCAAAGGTAGAAAAATTAAATTCCACCACATAGAGAATGGTGTATCCAAGACTTTTTTGACATATATTAAAGCATCACAGTAATTAAAAAATCTTTTGAAGGGAGATACATTGGGGATATGCAGTCATCCTCATTCCCTTGAAAGTTTTTCTCACTCAATTTATGATTTACCTGTGGACCTTGCCTATTGCAATTATTTTTTGGTGATATTCCATTTTCCTCATTATTTCTATATTTATTATTTGAAATATTTCTGAAAGTGTTGGTCCCCTCTCCAATTTATAATTATCCACCCACTCATTTACTTATATCAGTATGAACTCATAGATATTTATTCTATTATTTGGGTTATAATCAAATACTGTCACCATCACTTTTGTTGCTAGTGATAGTATTTGATTATAACCCAAATAATAGAATAAATGTCCATTTGGTTTTTGAAAGCTCTTTCAGATTGCCTCCTGTGTGTTTTTCATGTGCACCTATACTTTTGGTTTCTAAGCCCTTCTCTATCTTTTGGCACCAAAGATACTCTAGGGTATTCTGGTACTTCCATGCTCCATACCTGGCATCAATTATTTCCTCAAGAAGTCCTCATGCTTTTTATTGGACATTGATTAAATGCCAGTTTAGCTGAATAAATAATAAATGCTAAAAAATGAGAATACATCAATTTAAAAAACAATTCTAATCCAGCATAGTAAGGATTATTCTCACCTTACCATGTTGATTATTTGAAACTTCTTTTCCCGACTCTAAGATATCTGGATTTTATTATCCAAAGAGATTTTTACTCATTTATTTAACCCTAGTAATTCATGTAAAGTAGTTCCAAAACCACTAATCAGAATCCCTGTGAGAAACCACTCTACCATCTAAAGTGTAGTACCTATGTACAACTCTTTTATCTTCAGCCTCACACTCAGTAGTCACCAAATGGTTGGACGCAGTATTTGCCATTTTCAAAAGAATTATGTCATATATTCATCACATTAATTTTTCATAGTCTTCATTCAACCTTGGTTTCTGTTACTAATATGGTTGACTTTTTAAAAATATATGTATAGTCTGGGTGCAGTGGCTCATGCCTGTAATCCCAGCACTTTGGGAGACAGGGAGGGCAGAGCACAAGGTCTAGAGATCAAGACCATCGTGGCCAACAAGGTGAAACCCTGTCTCTACTAAAAATACAAAAAGTAGCTGGGCATGGTGGCATGCATCTGTAGTCCTAGCTACTCGGGGGCTTAGGCAAGAGAATCGCTTGAACCTGGGAGGCGGAGGTTGCAATGAGCTG